GTAAATCCTCCTGCCAGTCCCTTCCCATGTGCCTTTCCAAGATAACTGCTTTTTATACATACTTTAGATTGCATTATCAGGAGTTTTATATGAAGGGAATCCATTAGTAAATACTCGTTTTCTGCCTTTTGTCATTTGACATAATTATTTTAAGACTCCGTCCGTACTGTGTGTAATCACTAATAACATTCCTTTTCATCAGAGATTGGCACACTCTTTTGCAAGGGTTAGATAGTAAATGTTACAGTTCTTTGCAAGCCATATCATCTTTGTTTCAATAACTCAACTCTACCATTGTGGAGTGAAAGCAGTCACAGAAAATATGTAAATAAATGAGCATAGCTATATTTCAAAAAACTTTATGAACAATGAAATTTTGTTTTCATCTTTCATAAAATTTAGTTCTTTTGGTTTTTTTTCAACTATTTAAAAATGTAAAAGCCATTCTTTGCATGTAGGCTGTACAAAACAGGTGGCAGTCAGAATGTTTGCCAACCCTGGCTTTTTATTTTCTCAAAAGTAGTGTTTCATGATACTCTAATTTGTTTATATATACACCTGATGAAAAATGGATGTTCATGTTCTTTCCAGTTTTTAGCTGTTACAAACAAAGCTGCTATGAACATATGTATTGTTGACATAGACATGTGTTTCTTTTTTTCCTGGCTAAATACCTGGGAGAGGAATTACTGGCTCACATGATATTCATATCTTCATTTATTTGTATCTATATCCATATGACTTTTCAAGAAATATTAAGAAATTACCATGTATTCAGTCTTTCTCTCTCTCCTGTCTTTTATTGATTTAATGAATTTTATTTTTCTTCCTTTTAATTGAAAATTAAAAATTCTAATTATTTTTTGGTCATTTTTAAATTCAAAAGAGAGTTTGTCTTTCTCTTCTTGAAAAGACTTAGCACCTTTTACTTCTACTTTTTTTCCCCCTCCTCTTTTATGTATTCTTGAAAACACTGATTAAATTTAGAATACAATGTTTTTATGAGAGATCTGATTCTAGGGTAATTCAATTTACATCATAGGGAACCTAATTTTTGTTGTTGGGTTTCTTTGAAAGCTTTAGGACAATCTCTTTATCCTTGCTTTTCATGTCTGGGTG